CAAATACAAGATGAACAACCTTCTGTTTCAGAAGGAACCAAATTCCACCATCTGGAACAAACCCTTTGATATCATTGCTCTCCAATTATTATGGGATTTTATCTCATCATTGGTGCATAAAACTGTCTTCAAATATTAGAAAGACTTGTCATAACATCTTTGTATTCTGCATGTCCCCAAGGAACAAAACGAAGAGAAATAAGTGAAGTTGAGAGAGAAATTTTCAGTTTCGTTTAGGAAAGAGTTTTTTAAGCTTTCAGAGCTAGCTCAAGACGGACTATGCTCTTTTAGTAGGTGGTGATATTTCTGTCACTTTGGTGTGCTTCAGTGATTTAACAAGTATTGGGTGAAATCCCAGTAATTGGCACTGAAAAAAATCATCTTAGCCTGGAACGAGGAATACTCGACCTGAAGCCGGCAGTTGTCCATTTCTAGTTAAACCCGCCCCCCAACCCCCACCTGCAGGCCCTGGGAAGCTTTTCTGTGTGTTCACTCTCTGACCTAAGAGCAAAACTCCCATCTGGTCTACCATTTGGCCTATCTTAACAATCTGGAACTCCAAAGTGCAGTACTCTGAAAGAATCATTTTTGGTCTCTAGGGGATCTTTCCCCCGCCTGTGCTATGGTTAACACCACAGGGAATTATGTTAATTTATTCATGCGTTCCTCTGACTGAAAAATGTAGACAAGCTGGCTTTCTGATGAGTAAGAGCACTTCTGATGAACCATGGAAGTTTCCTCTTGACCTAATGATCTTCCTTCTACCTATTTCTGTTCTCTGATATGATGGTTTCAATTTTTAAATTATCAAAGCTGTAGATTTAGCTTTTGCTAATATTGTCTTTTGCCAAACTTAAATATTACGGGTTTATGTATTCTTTACTAGACACTTTACTAGTAACTTTTGCAAATTTGAGAAGAACGTGTGTCCAAAACCTTTTAATGGAGCCGGAAAAGATGTAATAAGGCTAATTAAAATGAGAGATTAACAATTCTTTTTCTTTTTTAAAAAAGGAAAAAAGATTAGCCATATTTGACCCAGAAAGAAGACAGTTAAAATGAGGGTTGACAAAAGTCTGTGAAATCATGAAAGGCTTAATAAGGTGGCTATAATATTCTTCAGAATGTTTTGGAATATCAGATTGTGCGCACTTCGCTTACAGTTTGAGAAAGTTAAAAATTTCAACAATATTTTGCCCTGTTGACAAAAACTTACATTTTGACCTTCTTTTTCTTTGCTATGCCATATATCCCAAGGATCATGCATAGGAAAAGCTGGATTTGTGTTCTACACTCAACAACACTACTCAAGAAAAAAACTCACAAAAATTTTCTAAATATCCAAACATAATGGAAAATATCAATGTTAAAATTAATTTTTGGATAAAGGTGATGGAAATTTAGACTTCTGATGTCTTCAAATTTTTCCTACTGTCATTCAGGTTCTTTTCATTTCTAGTTTCTGCTCTGAGTGAAATCTTCAGGACGTGTAGATTAGGAATGTAATTGCTGGCAAATCATTCATTATTAAAATTCTAATCAAACAATTAGGATGATTCATGGAACTCTCGTTAGAATGAGACTGTACCGAATTTTGAGCTTAAGCTTGCAACTGTGCAGGCCGGAAAAGTGACCAGAGCTCCCTAAACACTTTAACATAAAGGGATGTGTGGTTGATGGTTTCATTTTGAAAATACACTAAAAAAGAAATTCTCCGTGATTCAGAACTATAGATATTTACAATCTTGGTAATATCCACGTATAGAAATCTTTGCAGTATCTCAAATGTGTAAGTTCTTAGGAGACCGTGTGTCTTCGGGTTTGTTTTTGTATTTGTTGGTTACAGTCTCCTTGTTTCCGGGGGAGGAAATCTGACTGAAAAGACCCAAAAGGCCGCAGGACACACTTAAAGCTGCAGTGGAATCCGCGAAACATAATTTCTCCAATGAACATACTGATTTTTTAAAATAAGAGAGCAAAGAAATGAATGGACAAGAGGAAGGGAAAAAAAACCAGGAAGCTTAATTTGTAAATTAAGATTGCTCCCTAAATGTATGTGGAGAGGGCCATATATATATTTTGAACTTGTCCAAACCTTTTGTAATCAGTGGACAGCTGTATGTGTGTGGTTTGTTCACTGAAAAGCTACCTATAAACACATGGTATCTGAGAATCTCTAGGTTTACCTGATAGGTTTTTTATGTCCTTTTACAAGGAATAATGTACTTACTTTTGATATTTAAAATATCTTAATGATGTGGTACTACAGGCACTGTTACAATGACATTTCTAAGTAATATCCGCTGTTCATGATCGAGCAATGTTTTAGGAGCACAATATTTTGAGACTGTTCTTCATGAGAAAAAAAGAGGAGAATTCAGTAGCAAGACATGTTCTCAATATTTTCCTTCCTTATTTCCAAATATTTTCAGAGTGGACATGGCACTTTTAAAACACGGCAAATATAGGGGTACCCGGGTGGCTCAGTCGGTTGAGTGTCTGACTTCGGCCCAGGTCGTGATCCTGTGCGTTGTGGGTTCAAGCCCCGCGTCGGGCTCTGTGCTGACAGCTCAGAGCCTGGAGCCTCCTTCAGATTCTGTGTCTCCCTCTCTCTCTGCCCCTCCCCCACTCTGTCTATCTCCCCTAAATAAATAAACATTAAAAAAATTATTTAAAACACGGCAAATATAATATTTATAGCAAAGAGAAAAGTTTCCAGAGATGGCAGAAATGAGTGGAGGTAATACTGTGTTAGCATATACTTTTGCAAGAAAGAGAATCTTACTCAAATAAGCTCAAGAAAATGCAGTATATTAAGTGGATCGTGATTTAATAGACTCCAAGATGAAGTTAAACTACCAGACATCAGGAGGGGCAGGAACCAGGCACCGCTAGGGGCCTTAGCAGCAGACGCTCATTGTATCTGAATCTGATGGTTCACCATAAACATGAGACAGTGAGTCTGAATGACATTGTCTAGCCTATGTATAAATTGGCTCCTTCAGGCCAAGCTGTACCCTTGATCAAATTAGGATGGTTGGTGATGCTGAGCATATAAGAACATATTTTATTAGAAGTCATGTGGAAGAGGAAGGCATATAGTACAATCACTAAAATAATTGAATCTTGGATCATGCAAAGACAAAAGTTATCACTCGCTTGAAATATAGCTCTGAAATTTCTGTGTCAATGTTTGAATCAATCTCCTTAAAAGATCAAAGCCTGACACTGACATTCTTTTTTTTTTTTTTAAGGAATTTCATGAATACAATTCTGAAGTCTCTAACATATTTTAGCTCCAGATTAGGTTGACCACCATTATCAGAAAACAGTTACCAGAAAACACTTAAGTGTTTTTACTAATGCATCTATGAAAGCAACTGGTGGTAATAATTACTCCATTGGACTTACTGTATAAATCATTGCATATAATTCTTTAGCAATTAATGTAATCTTAAGGCTATGCCAAGTAATTTCAACTAATAAATATATAAATAAAATAGCAAAATCAGGCCAATAAGGTTTACTGAAAACTTTAGTTTTCATCAATATGAATAAATGTGTTTTGAAAAACCTCTGCGACACCTAAGATTGCTATTATGACTCTCAATAATTGTTCCAAACCTGGATATTGTTAAAACCTTAATAGCAAGTATAAGGAGGAATAAGTAATCAACATACATAATGGAGTATTAGCATCTTAACCTCCAACATCTGAACCATAAAGGCAGCCTTTGCTCTTTCTTTCACTCAGGTATTAGTTCTCAGAATAGTTCACATGGCTTCCTTCCTTCCATGCATAAACATTATTCCTTAGCAGCAATCTAAGAATTGGGCTAACATTCGTGACCTTTCTCCACCTTCGTACCCCCCACCCCCCAACTTAGCTCTGTCCTTCAGGAGAACCACAATAACCTACAAAGATGTTGCTCCCTGGCTTAAGTACTTTAAGGGCATTTCCTGGCCTGCAGTTTAAACTTGAAGCACTTTTGCGTCTCAGAGCGCACACCCCTTCTTGCCTGGCCCATTCCTCCCTTTCCAGATTTTTCTCCTTCTGCTCTCAGCCTTACAATTGATGATGCTGATAACATGAATACTTGTTACTCCCATCCACCTTATACTTTCAGATCCTTTCTTATGCTTTTTCCTCTAGTTGGAATATTCCCTCATTCCATTCTTTACCTAATTAGTTTCTGCTCTCCCATAAAGACTCAGCTCCTGGCTACCTAATCCTAGGAACATTCCTAGAGTTTATCAAACTAGGCTAAAATTCCCTGCCCCACTGTGTTATCCCACAGTGTCCTGTATATACCTCAGAGTGGCTATGATATCATAAAAATGACTTGTTAGTGGGTCTATTGTTTCACAAACTATAAGCGGGTTCCATGTTATACCAACCCACACCCACTAGGGACTTAGATTTGTTGAACAGAATGAAACTTCTGACACAGTTATCAGCTAATGAAGCTGTTTCATAGGGAATTTGAAATTCCAACAGAAGAAACTTACAGACTGAGTATTTAAAAAATTTTCCACTGCTTGAGGAAAGTGAATTTAATCTTTTAATTTTTCTTATTAGTTCGCCACAGAAAAAAGCCTATGCCTCGATGTTGCCCAAGAGCATTTTCTTGGCAAGCTGGCTCCCTGCCTGGAACCATCTCGACACTTTGCCTAAAGCAAGACAGTGATTGTTCAAATAGGAAACACACTGATGGGTCTCCAGGCATGGCTGAAATGACGCATTTTCCACATTAGAATTCTGTAATCACGACTGTTACAAATAATGTGATTTGGATCAATTACCCGAATCAAACAGCACGTGTCTGTTGTTCTATATCCTAAATCCCTCATTAGTATAGTAAGAATATAAATAGAAACTTCATAAATGCTATACTAATGAAAAGGAAGGACCTATATATGTAAGATAAATAAAATAGATCGCTGTATACATTGATTATTCAGCAAAAAATTCTGTGTCCTCTATTACCTGCATGTCTCAGGTAACAGTGGTTTGGAGTTAAGCACATCTGAATTGTCCACAAAATCGCTGCAGTTCCACATTTCACTAAGCTAATATAAGAATGGCCTCAGGACAAGTTTTAGATGAAGGGAACTGAGATGAAACTAGAAAGAAGGTAAAATTCTACTTTCTTATTAATGACACACTTAGAATTATCTCTAATCTTTGCTTTTGTTTTTCATTCTGCACACCCTAAAGCTACTTTAATTGGGCTCCCTACAGATGATCACTGTTTTGCAATTCAGTACTCAGTTTTTCAGAGTATTTCCATTACTAAAGAGGGGGTATCTCAAAAGTAAACACACAGAGCGGTGTCTGGGTGGCTTAGTCAGTTAAGCAACCAACTCTTGATTTCCGTGAAGGTCACTATCTTGATCTCACCCTTCGGTTCCTGGTTGGTTCTTCAGACCCAGACTACATCCAGCTAGCTGTGTGCTGACAGCTCAGAGGAGGCTTGAGATTCTCTCTCTCTTTCTGCCCCTCCTCTGGGCATGTGTGCACTCGTGTGTGCACTCACACAAGTGCACTATCTTCCTCTCAAAATAAATAAACTTCAAAACAGAGTCAACATACAGAAAGAAGTAAACATTACAAAATGTGCCCTTTACATATTTCCTCACTCTCTCCTGCATCAGTACATACTTGTTCACACCTTCTCTACATCACTTACAGAATCCAATGATAAAAAGTTCCTTACTTGGTATTATGTGTATCAATGGTATGGAAAAGCTCATGTAATTCTTCTCCACTCAGAACACCATCTGCAAAATACGCTTTGAATTCTTCAAAGGACAATTTTCCATCATCTGAAACGGTAAGAACACACAGAAGATAAGCAAATCATTTCAACTTTGTATATTGTTTTGTCTTTTAATTTTAAAATCTTGGCTCAAATGCTTATGCCGGTTTATTTGTGCATGTACACACATTTATTTAAAAAGAAGGAGGGGCGCCTGGGTGGCTCAGTTGGTTGAGTATCCGACTTTGCCTTAGGTCATGATCTCATGGTTTGTGAGTTCGAGCCCCATGTTGGGCTCAGTGCTGACAGCTCAGAGCCTGGAGCCGGCTTCGGATTCTGTGTCTCCCTCTCTCTCTGCCTCTTCCCTACTCACAATCTGCCTCTCTCTGTCTCTCAAAAATGAATAAATGTCAAAAATAACTTTAAAAAATAAAAAAGAAAGAATAATTGAAGGTGTTAAAAAGAAAAATAATTTAATGCATTTTTATAGTACATGGACTTCAGACATTTACTCCCTGATGAAATAAGTCTTCATGGTTTTAAGTATGTTTGGGTTCATTTATTTTTACATTTAACAAGCAATTTAACTAAATATACCAAAAATATATCCGCACAACCAAATAAAAGCCTAATACAGAGTCAATTATTCAGATGTTCTGTCTTCATCTATAGGACCTAGCAGGTTACAGAATAAACAGATGTTTAATAAGTGAATACTGATTATTTAAAAAAAACTTTTTTTAATGTTTCATTTATTTTTGAGACAGAGCATGAACGGGGGAGGGGCAGAGAGAGAGGGAGACACAGAATCGGAAGCAGACTCCAGGCCATCAGCCCAGAGCCGACGCGAGGCTCGAACTCACGGACCGCGAGATAGTGACCCGAGCTGAAGTCGGACGCTTAACCGACTGAGCCACCCAGGCGCCCCAAGTGAATACTGTTAAATAATCATGTAGATTTCAGAATTGTTATTGCAATCCAACAAACTGTGTTCATTCCTTTATGATTCAAACAAATGAACACGTTTAAACACAAACACATTTTACTTATTGTGGGATACAAAAGCAAATGACAATCAAATCAGGGAGTCTAATAAAAAGAGATAAGAGGCGTAGGCATAAGCGTAAATATGTTACACAGTAAAACACAGTAAGTGCAATAAGAGATACACTTTGGAATGTATGGGAGTCGGGGCAATACAAGATCTTTCATTTGGGGGCACGAGCAGTGTTAGTAACTTTTGCACGTGACTTTCAACGTTTTTTTTTTTTGGGGGGACAGAGAGAGACAGAACATGGGACAGAGAGAGACAGAGCATGAACGGGGGAGGGGCAGAGAGAGAGAGAGACACAGAATCGGAAACAGGCTCCAGGCTCCTAGCCATCAGCCCAGAGCCCGACGCGGGGCTCGAACTCACGGACCGCGAGATCGTGACCTGGCTGAAGTCAGACATTTATCCGACTGCGCCACCCAGGCGCCCCTGCACGTGACTTTCAATAACAGGTAAATCTGGATAAGCAGAGATGGAAGAAACACATTAATAACAGATGAAAGTAAAAGATCTCTACATGATACAGCAGCACAGAATGTAAGGGAGTGAATGGACATGAACGAAAAGGAAAGCATCCTTCCTTCTGTGCAAGAAGCTGGTTTGCTAGTTATTTCAGGAAGCTGCCAGATGACTTACGTGACGGAACGATCCTCTCCCTTTACAAAGAGACAGCAGCGGACTAAGGAGGAGGAACTCAGGGTCACAAAACTCCTGCCGTGTGGTCCTACCAACACTATACTGAACAAAGTGGAGTTTGTCTTTGAGAAAAAGATGATAAGATTTAGTAGGATTGGACCTTCAAGACCCGCTGAGCTTATTTTTTCCTCTAAAGATGGCCCACAGACCATTTTAATTCAGTTAAAATGTGGATTCCTGGGCCCTACTAGAGAATCCGAATCTCAGAGAGGGCATGGAGGGGTGAGGCAGCGAAGGAATCAGGATTTTTCGTGACCTGTGAGACTCTTCCCCACAGTAACGCTTAAAATAAAGGACACAACAGACTTAATCACTGAATGACCTTCTTTCTCAGATCCACTTTCAAAAATCCTTATTTGCAAAATATAAATTTAAAGACCCTTGAGAGTTTTAAAATTGCGTATCATTTTACTGTTTAACTTAATAAGTGAATTAAACCAATCTTCTGGTTAATTCTCGGCGATAGCAAACTGGGCAGAAATAGCACGAGAGATCACAAAAAACCTGATCTGCATAATTCACAGAATGAGTTCCTCACTCCTAGAGGCCCGCTGGACCAGCCTACCTCAGTCTAGCTCAGTCATTCAAACACTGAAGCAATCCATCGTAAGACAAAGTTGAATCCACGAGGCTCATCAATTTTATATTTTGTATTGTATTGTCCACTTTTGTATTTATGCTTTTGGATGGGCTGTTTTAGTGTCATTGTCTCAAATGACTATTTTAAACTTGGGTTCCATGTAACCTGATGTACATTCCACACTAGATGGTAGAATAGTATCTCTACTGTGTATCTCCTTATTTTGACAAAAAATATGTCACCAGGTTGGGGAACTGGACACAAACCACATCTAGGTATATGTGAAAGAAAGGCAAGAAAGGTAAGAAAGGGGAAGGAAGGAAGGAAGGAAGGAAGGAAGGACGGAAGGAAGGAAGGAAGGAAGGAAGGAAGGAAGGAAGGAAGGAAGGAAGGGGGAGGGAGGAAGAAAGACAGAAACCAACCCACTATTTCCAACTCTACCATGGAAATTTGTAACAAATTTAATACATACATATTCATAGTGGAATATGTTTTCCTTGGTGAGTATTTGATGTTTCTCAGGTGGGCTGAACCAGGCTATTAGAAAACATAAGCTGCCTGAGCACCCTATGGATAGGGTAAGCCTCTATAATACTGCTTTATAATCACCATAAGTAGGGAAGTTCCAGTGATAATGTAAACACTATCAAATGAAAGCACTGAACAACAAGTGCTCTGATGATTCTATGAGGGCTAAAAACCTTTTTGCTTTGTAATTCTTATTAGAAAAAATATTATAAGAAAAAGCAGTCACTCAATTACAGTCCTGACTTGAAGGATGAAAACTATATTTTGAAAGCCAGTTTTTACCACGTTCAAGACTCCTGGAAGTCTTAAATTCAAGCTGCCATACTTTTAAATAAGGAATTGGAAAGAGTTACTTTGGAATATTTGTAGACTAATGCCTTAATGTCAGACAAAAGTATTACAGCTTTTTTTAAAGTTTAGTTTTTTGAGAGAGAGAGAGAGAGAGAGAGCGAGAGAGAGAGAGAGAGCGCAGAGGAGGGGCAGAGAGAGGGAGAGAGAAAGAATCCCAGCAGGCTCCATGCCATCAGCACAGACCCCTATGTGGGGCTCGAACCCATGAACCATGAGATCATGACCTGAGCTGAAACCAAGAGTCGGATGCTTAACCAACTGAGCCACCCAGGTGCCCCTACATTATTTTTTTTTTAATTTTTTTTCAACGTTTATTTATTTTGGGGACAGAGAGAGACAGAGCATGAACGGGGGAGGGGCAGAGAGAGAGGGAGACACAGAATCGGAAACAGGCTCCAGGCTCTGAGCCATCAGCCCAGAGCCTGACGCGGGGCTCGAACTCACGGAGTGCGAGATCGTGACCTGGCTGAAGTCGGACGCTTAACCGACTGCGCCACCCAGGCGCCCCTACATTATTTTTTTGAAGGAAAAGGAGACAAAATACCCCTGTCTAGTATTAACCAAACAATTTTAATATTTTATTAAAATATCTGTTTTCATCTTCAATTTTCCTGCTCTTTTCTTTTGAAATGGAACACAATGAAACTTTGATTTATACTGGTTTGGCTCACAGACTAACCAAATCTTGTGATATCTGATATACTATGATAATAAATCTTTTAACATTTACCACCAAAGGGTACAGGTTTTTCAGCTTTTTCTATTTGAATTGCATGCTTTGCCTGAGTTTATCGTGAGCACAGCTGGCCCCTCTCTGTTTTATTTTTAAAGTATTCTGGTCTTGGGGTGCCTGGGTGGCTTGGCTGAGTGGTTCAACTCTTGATTTTAGCTTAGGTCATGATGCCAGGGTCGTGGGATCAAGCTCCACATCAGGCTCCGTGCTGACTGTAAAGACTGCTTAAGATTCTCTCTCTCCTCTCTCTCTCTCTCTCTCTCCCCCCCCCCCCCGCCTGTCCCACACCCTCTCCCCCATCCCCTACTCGCACATTCGTTTTTTCTCTAAAATAATAAATTAAAAAAAATGAAGTATTCTGGTCTTATAGTCTACATTCCATTAATTTTTGAGATGGAAGTAGCAGAGTGCAATGGCTTACAGCAGTCTTAGAACAAAGAAACTCTTGAGTTTTTAACACAGATTTGGCATTTACTGGTATAGCACTTTCATCCATTCTCTCATGAGTTTTTTACTTAGACCCTACTATGTTCCCACACTGTTTTACGCTAAGAATATAGGTAGGCAAGCCCTTAAGGATTTTGTAATTATGATGGATGTTATAGCAAATAAACAGCCAAATACCACATGATAAGGGCAATTCTAGGGGACACAGGATGATGGGGGACCATGTAGAAAAGAAAGCTAACCCAGATGTAAGTGTACAGGGAAGGCTTCCCAAACTGTATGACATTTCAGCTGAGATACAAATGAAAAATAGGGGTTAAGGGGGAAATATCTGTAAAGGGGAAGAGTATTCCAGGTAGAGGAAATGCCAACTACAGAGCTAGGAGGCAAGAAACAATATAGGTTGGGACCTGAAAAGAAAAAATCAGATCTAATGTACAACAACATGACTACAGTTAATGATACTGTATTGCATACTTGAATTTTTCTAAGACTGCAGATGTTGAGAGTTTTTACCATAAAAAAAGAGTAATTATGTGAGGTGATGAGTATGTTAAGTAGCTTTATTGTACCGAATATTTCACAACACATATGTATATCGAATTATCAAGTTGTATACTTTAAACACATATAATCTTAAATTGTCAACAATGCATCAATAAAGCTTGGAGAAAAGACAACATACTGAGTAGGAAGATGGAGAAGCCAGAGAGTTAGACACAGAGAGTCAGTATCATGAAAAACCACAAAAACCATGGCAATGATATCTGAATTTACCCCAAGAGAAGCCACTGTCTTATTAGAAACTTTGATGTGGTTACCAGTGGGTAGAATGGAGTGGAGAGGTGTGCCATCAGATGAGAAGACACATTAGAGGTCACTGCAGTAGTTAGAGTAAGAATCAATGGTGATGTAAACTTCAGTAGAGACAGTAAGGACGCAAGGTAAGCAGCCAGATTAGTAATTTGTTTCAGAACTAGAATCAACAGCAACTGGTGATCAGTTAGAGGTGATAGATGAGAGGGTACAATAAGTCAAAAATGATACCCTTCCAGCACGGAGTAATCAGATGGTTGATATCTCCATTCATTGCCAATGCAAAAAGCATGGGGTAGAGTGCTCTTTGGCCTATTGAAATTAGATGTACCTGTGGAATAAGGAAAGGCATCCAGCAAGCAGGAGCGTCATATGGGTATAGAAAAGGAGAAGCAGATGGGGCACCTGGGTGGCTCAGTCAGTTAAGCATCCAACTTCAGCTCAGGTCGTGATCTCATGCTACGTGGGTTTGAGCCCCAAGTGGGGCTCTGTGCTGACAGCTCAGAGCCTGGATCCTGCTTCAGATTCTGTGTCTCCCTCTCTCTCTGCCCCTCCCCCGCTCATACTCTGTCTCTCTCTCAGAAATAAATAAACATTAAAAATTTAAAAAAAAAGAAAAGAAAAGGAGAAGGAGAGAGAGGAAGATGAAGAGATACTTGGGAATTATCAATACATACTAATTCAGGTCCTAGAAGTGAGTTCATGCTCCCAAGGAAAATGCTTACAGTGAGAAAGAAGAGGACCCGGAACAGATTTTGGAAATGCCAACTAAATCTTTTAAGTTTCAGATTTTATAAATGCTTGGCGACTGCAAGGATCAAGATGTTATAGAGAAAACACTTAGCACAGTACCTAGCACATAGTTAAGAGTTCAACAACGGTAGATACAATTTTTGGATGGATTTATGTGTTTGGTATTGCTAAGCCAAGACCATTATGTATTATTAATTCTCATTTTGTTCTCTTTCTTGAAAAGTATTTATTGAGAACACACAGAATAATGGGTATTTGATATGTTTATTTAAAAATAGAAATATTCATTTATTTTCTTACGTAATAAGGTTTTATATATCCTAGAGCTGGTGCTTCTTTGAAAAAAAAAAAGAGTCTCTTTAAACACTCATTTAATTTTGCCTTCAAGTTTTTTTTCTTTCACAAATATGCCAACAACTAGAGCATTGATCTCAGCATTTCCCGCCCCTGCCACTATCATAATTTTAATCTAGTTTTTGTGATCATTTAAATGGTTATTCTCTCAAAACACTGGATTTTCTCTCATGTGTTTCTTTAACATTTTTGAACTTTAAATACTGTAGTTTATCAAGATTAAAACACCAAAACGTCTTCAAAAATGACAGCAGCATCCTTGTACAAAATAGACCCCTGGAAAGCATTACTGAGTTTAGCACACAAAGAATAGCATATACTTCACATACACACGCAGATTTTTAGAGGCAGGAATAAAAAATATCAACCTTGTTTCTAAAATGATACTTAAATTGTAAATTAGGAAAAAAAATAATGTTAATATTTGATTAAATATAACAGATTAAACACTTTCTATTAAATGTACATATCACTTTATACATTGCTTTAATATTATTGTGCATTAACTTCCTTATCTCTACATAGCCCCCACCTGTCAAACTTATAATATTATAAATGTGATTTAAAACAAGTTACTGACAATATATACATGGAAATGAAATAGAAACTCTGCTGATTTCAGCTCCGATACGTCAAGACCTTAGCCATTATCGCTTCCGTCCTTAGAACAGCAAAAATCTGAACAGACTGAAAATCACTGACTTTTCTCAGACTCATCAGAGAACTGAGGTCGCAGGGCAAACCACTCTCCAAAATCTGAGAAACAGGCAAAACCAGAGAATCCCGGCCAAGATCTGCTTACCCGGAGCAGAAGAGACTGGAGCCCTAAACTGACAGGAACACTTACATGGTCATTTTGATGGCTGCTGGAGGCTGGGTACAGACTAGCATAGGAGGGGGAAACTGCTTCAGTCATTAGGGAGCTTCCGCACTTTCGTGGGTTTTACCCCCAGGAACCCTACCAGGTTCTCATAGTGAGGAGACAAAAAAAAAAAAAGAACAACTTGTAGCTCTGGAAGAGGGAAGAGCAAGGGGAATCATGAGATATACCCAGAGTGCTCTTCATGACAATGTCTACTCTTCAGGGGCAAAGGTTTTTACCAGAACCCTATCCCATTTGGGGAAAGGACGTTTCTCTCACTGCAGACCCCTCTAGGCTTCATATCAAATATGCTTAAGGGAAGCTAAGAAACACTTGTGAAGGTCAGAGCCCAGAAACACAGACCCAATAAAAGACTGAGATTTAATCATAAGAATATAGAACACATCTGCTCCTCCATTCCTTACCATCAAGCGAACATGGATCCCCTATAAATACAAAGGACTACAGGAGAAAGAGCTGGAAGACTCAGCTTCCTTTTCAGGAGGAGGACTTAGGAAAGCTCAAGTAAATGGGGGAGACAAAAAGATGAGAAATTTGAAGACTTTAGCAATCAGAGCAAACATTAAACACTGCCCAACTCCTAGCCAGCCAGATTAACATAATTTCTCAAGCTAGAAACCTATTAATTTCATTTCCTATTACCTGATAGGTCATGATTGGCTTTCACAAAAATATTATCAGGAATGCTAACATGCAAGAAAAAGCACAGGCTGAATATACAAAGCAAGCATCAGAACCAGACCAGATCTGATACAGATGTTGGGAACTGTCAAACAAGAAATTCTAAATAACTATGATTTATAGGTTAAGGGGTCTAATGGAGAAAAAGAGAAGAGATGGGTAATGTAAACAGAGAGGTGGGAATTCTAAGGAAAAAAAAATCAAGAGATCAAAAACACAGAAATGAAGAATTCATCTGATGGGCTCATCAGTGAACTTGATATAGCTGAGAAAAGAATCAGCTTGAAAAAAATAAAATAAAACAAAACCTCAACAGAACATCTAAGCACTCTGAGAAATTTCAAAAGGTGTTACATACATGCAACTGGTAAAGAAGAAAAGGGAGTACAGAGCAGAAGAAATATCTGAAACAATAATAATAATGGCTAAGAACTTTCCAAAGTTAATGACAGAAACCAAACTATAGATCCAAGAAGCTCAGAAAGCACCAAATAGGATAAATTCTTGCCTTGACATCCCCCCACTCTGACCTAAGCAATGCTATACCTAGGCATATAATATTCAAACTACAGAATGCCAGGGGCGCCTGGGTGGCTTGGTCGGTTAGGCATCCGACTTCTGCTCAGGTCATGATCTCATGGTCCATGAGTTCGAGCCCCACGTCGGGCTCTGTGCTGATAGCTCAGAGCCGGGAGCCTGTTTCAGATTCTGTGTCTCCCTCTCTCTCTGCTCCTCCCCTGTTTGTGCTCTGTCTCTGTCTCAAAAATAAATAAACGTTAAAAAAAAAAAAAAACTACAGAATGCCAAAGACAAAGAGGAAATTTAGAAAGAGAAAGAAAAAGAATTAATCTACAGTCTATATAAAGACCAAGAATACAAATTAAAATTACAGTGGACTTCTCATCAGAAACCATGCAAGCAAAAAGTGTGGAGTGAAATATTTAAAGTGTTGAAAGAAAAGCCCCATAATATAGAATTTTATATCCAGTGAAATTGTTCAAAAACAAAGGCAAAAATAGAGACCTTCTCGGATGAACAAAACTGAAGAAATTCATTGCCAGTGGAACTTCTCTGTGAGAAGTGTTAAAAGAAGTTCTTAGGGAGAAGGAAAGTGATACAGATCAGAAACTCAGATCCACATAAAGAATAGTGTCAGAGAAGGAATAAATGGAAATAAAATATTTTGCTGTTTTTATTATTCTAAGTTAATCTAAGAGATAACTCTATAAAGTAATAATACTAACAACATGTTGGTAATTATAGCATATGGATAAGTGAGATAAATTTTATCAGTTCATAAGGAACAGAAGGAAACACTGGAAATGTTCCATTGTAAGGTATGTGTGTTACTTATAAAGTGGTATAGTGTTATTTGAAGGTATATTTAGATTAGTAATAAATTAAATATTGCAAATTTAGATTAGTGAGAAATGTATATAGCAACTAAAATGGTCTTCAAATATATAATTGATTTGCTAAGAAAGTAGATAAAAAAGATTATAAGATGTTGTTTAAAACTGAATAAGGTGGAAGAAGAGGGAGAAAAAAGGAACAAAGAAAAAGTGGAATAGAAAATAACTACAAATGTGGTAGATATTAATCCAAAAATGCCAACAATCAATTTAAATGTGAATGATCTTAACACGCTAATTAAAAGGCAGAGACTGGGGTGCCTTGGGTGGCTCAGTCGGTTAAGTGCCCAACTCTTGATTTTGGCTCAGGTCATGATCTCACGGTTTGTGAGACCGAACCCTACATTGGGCTGTGCCCTGACAGTGGTGTCTGCAAGGGATTCTCCCTCCCCCCCCCGCCCCTCCCCTACTTGCACTCTCTCTTTCTCAAAAGAAATAAACTTGAAAAAAATTCTCTTAAAGGCAGAGATTTTCAGGGTAGATAACCAAACAAGAGCCATGCTGTCTACAAGAAACCCACTTTAAATATAAAGATTAATACACGCTAAATCTAAAGAGATGGAGAAAGATATACCATAACAGCGTTCAACAAAAGAAGGCTGAGGTAGCTTATTAATTTCAGTCAGAGACTTCAAAACAAGAAAAATTATCAAGGATAGAGAGTGGAATTACTTAATTAAAAAGGGGTCAATTCTCCCAGAAGACAACAATTCTAAGTGTTTATGTGCCTAAAACAGAACATCAAAACACATGACATGAATACTGACAGAACTGAAAAGAAAAATAGACAAATCCACAATTACAGCTGGAGACTTCAACACTCCCCTTTTAGTAATAAAAAGGGGATAAATCAAACATGTAGAAAATCAGTAGGGATATATATACATATATTGATCTGAACACCACTATCAAGTACTTTATCTATAGTCATTTATACAATACTTCTTCTAACAAAGGCAGAATATGTAACCTTCTTGAGATCACATGGATTATTCACCAAGATGTGTCGCATACCTTGTTTAGGTGTGGCCATAAAACACACTTTAACATATTTAAAGTGTAGATGTCACATAAAGTATGTTCTCAGAACACAGTAGAAGTAAACCAGAAATCAGTAACAGAAAGATACTCAAAAATCCCAATATTTAGAAATTAAGGATCACTTTTCCAAATAACACATGACATTTGACACTCAAGTGTCAAGAGAAGTTGAAAAAAAAAAAACATTTTGAACTAGATGAATATGACAGTACAATAAATCAAAATTTATAAGTGCTTAGAGGAAGACTTATATCTTTAAATAAGTTTATATATTCATATAAATATAAATATTTATATAAATATAATATAATTTAATTATATTAATCTAATATGTTATATAAATATAATTATATATTTAATTAATTTAATATATTATAAAATATCTAAAATCAATATCTAGGTTTCCACATTAGGAAATTGGAGAGAGAAGAGTAAATTGAGCCTAAAGCAAGCAGAAGAAAATAAATAATAAAGATTGGTACACAAATCAATGAAAGTGAAACCAGAAAAACAACAGAGAAAATCAGCAGAACTAAAAGCTGATTCCTTGAAAAGATCAATAAAATAGGTAAAGTTCTAGTCGGGCTAAGCAAGGAAAAAAAGAGAGCAAATATGATCAGTATCAAAAATGAAAGCAAAAGTTATCACAATTAATAAAACAGTACTATGGACAACTCTATGCCCACAAACTTGATAACTTACCTGAGGTGGAATAATTCATTGAAAGACAAAAACTGCCAAAAGTCACACAAAAAGAAACATTTAATCTTAATAGGTCCATATCTACTAAAGTAATGTTATCAATAATTAATAACCTCACGAAAAATAAAGTGCCATGCCCAGATGGATTTACTGGTAAATTCTATCAAATATTTAAGGAACAAATGACACCAATTCTCCTGATGTCTTCCAGAAAATAGAAGCCAAAATAACATTACTAAATCATTCTGTGAATCCATCATTATCCTAATCCGAACCTAGATAAAACCGTTACAAAAAGGGAAAACTGTAGACCAACACTGTTCAGGAACATAGATGTAAAAATCTTCAACAAATATTAGCAAGTTGAATCCAACAACGTTTTAAAAGATTATACACAAAGGCCAGTGGAATTTAGTTCAGTTATGCAAGATGGACTAATATTTAAAAAAACAATCAACGTGGGGTGCGTAGGTGGCTCAGTCAGTTAAGTGTCTAACTTTGGCTCAGGTCATGATCTCGCAGTTCATGAGTTCGAGCCCCGTGTTGGACTCTATGCTGACAGCTCAGAGCCTGGAGCCTGCTTCACTTTCTGTGTCTCCCTCTCTCTCTGCCCCTCCCCCCACTCATGTGCACACACAATCTCTCTCACTCTCTCAAAAATAAACATTAAAAAAAATGAAAAAAAACAATGTAACCCACAACATAAACAGGCTAAAGAAGTAGAAATCATATGATCATATGAATTGATGAAGAAAAAACATTTGATGAAATTGAACACTCATTAATAATAAGAACTCAGCAAACCAGGAATAGAAAGGAATTTCCTCAACCTGATAAAGAACATCAACAAAAATCCCAAAGCAGAAGTCACACTAAATGGTTGGTAAGTAGAAGCTTTCCTCTTAAGATCAAAAACAGATCTTAAGAGATGTCTTCTCTCACCACTCTTACTTAACAATAGTCTGGAAGTCCTAGCTAGTGCAATATGACAAGAAGCAGGAATAAAAGGCATACAGACTGGGAAGGTAGAAACAAAACTGTATTTCTTCACAGATGGCATAATTGTCTATGTAGAAAATCATCCCAAAGAGTCAGCAAATAAAACAAACAAAACCCAACCCCAAACAAAACCTCTGAAACTAAAAAGGAAATATAGCAAAGTCACAGGGTAGAAGGTTAATATACAAAGTCAATTGCTTTACTATATATCAGTAACAAGCAACTGGAAGTTAAAATCCAAAACAATACCATTTACAAAAGTACCCCCCAAATGAAATACTTAGGTAAATCCAAAAATATATATATAAAGGATCTAAATGCAGAAAACTACAAAACTCTGATGAAAGAAACTAAGTAAGATCTAAATAAGTAAATGAAGAGACAGTATAGAAGACTCGATATTGTTAAGGCAGCAATTCTTCCCATCTTTGTCTTTTGATCAATGAGACTAATATTGCAATCAAATCCCAGCCACTATTTGATAGCACAGACAAACTGATTCTCATGTATATAGGGAAAGATAAAAGGCCTAGAATTACAAACACAATACTGGAGAGGAAAAACAAAGTTAGAGGACTTAACAGTACCCAATTTCAAGACTTTCTATAAGCTACAGTAATCACCCCAGTGTTGTCTTGGCAAAAGAACAGATGCATAAATCAATGGAACAGAATCAAGAAACCAGAAATACAACCACACTAATATAGTCAACTGATCTTTGACAAAGGAGCAAAGGCAATTAGAGAAAGGACAGTCTTTTCAAAAAATGGTGCAGAAACAACTGGATGTCCATATGCAAAAAAATGAGCCTAGACACAGAGTTTATACCTTTGATATGATAAAAATTAACTTAATATGGATCACATACCCAACTATAAAATGCAAAATAAGAGAAACCTTGGATTGGGTGATGAGTGTTAGATACAACACCAAAAGCACAATCATGAAAGAAAAAAAAGGTAAGTTAGACTTTATTAGAATTTTAAAATCTGCTCTGTGAAATAAAATACTCTTAAGAGAATGAAAGACAAGCTATAGGCTGAGAAAGTATTTGCAAAATACATTATACATGTATACATGTATACATACATTATAATATATTATAATACATTATACATGTATACATGTATAAATACATTATATCTATAATGTACATAGAAATCTTAAAATAGCAATAAAAAGGCAAAAAGCCAATTTAAAAAAAAAAGTGGGCAAACATCTGAATAGACACAAGTCCCCCCAAAAAATACAAATGACAAATAAGCATTTGAAATATTTTCAATACTGACTGTCATTAATAATTTAAATAGTAATGAGATGCTACCACATACCCATTAGAATGGTTTCCCTCAAAAAAAATAAATAAATAAAAACCCACAAAAACCTAGCAACACCAATTCCTAGCTCACATGTGGGTCAACAGGAACATTCATTCATTACTGGTGGAAAAGCAAAATGTTGCAGCTACTTTGGAAGACAGTTTGGCATTTCATTTTCTTAGGCAGCAACCATGGTCCTAGGTAGTTATCCAACTGCTCAAAAACTTAAGTCTTCACAAAAACTACACGTGAATGTTTATAACACTTTTATTCATAATCACCAACAATTGGAAGTAATTAAATGTCTTTCAGCAGGTGCACGGATCAAATAATTTTAGTACATTCACAGAAAGGAATATTATTCAGTGATTTTTAAAAAGTAAGCTATCAAGCCAAAGAAAGTCATGGATGAAACTTGCCAGTCTGAAAAGGCTGTCTATGTAGTATATGATTCTAATTTTATGACATCCCAGAAAGGACAAATTTATAAAGACAGTCACAAGATGAGTAGATGCCAGGAGTTCAGGGCAATGAGGGTCGAAAGGACAAAAACGGGGGGCGCCTGGGTGGCGCAGTTGGTTAAGCGTCCGACTTCAGCCAGGTCACGATCTCGCGGTCCGTGAGTTCGAGCCCCGCGTCAGGCTCTGGGCCGATGGCTCAGAACCTGGAGCCTGTTTCCGATTCTGTGTCTCCCTCTCTCTCTGCCCCTCCCCCATTCATGCTCTGTCTCTCTCTGTCCCAAAAATAAATAAACGTTGAAAAAAAAATTTAAAAAAAAAAAAAAAGGACAAAAACGGGATATTTTAGGGTGGGGAAACTATTTTGCATGACGTGGTATGATAAATATATGGCATTATGCATTTGTTGAAACCCACAGAACTTTATAGTGCAAAGAATAAACTTTAAGACAAAAACAGAAAGGGAGGCAAACCATAAGAGACTCTTAAATACAGCGAACAAACTGAGAGTTGCTGGAGGGACTGTGGGTGAGGGGATGGGCTAAATGCGCGAGGGGCATTAAGGAGGACACTTGTTGGGATGAGCACTGGGTGTTAAATGTAAGTGATGAATCATGAGATTCTACTTCTGAAACCAATACTATACTGTATACTAACTTGGATTTTAATAAATAAATTAAAAAAATAAACTTTAATGTGTGAAATTCTTTAAAAATCATTTAGGAGTTCAGGGGATTCCAGGACAGAATGGAGAATGTGACAAAATAATTCAAATGTATTAGAAACAGATGGAAACAACTTCACTGAAGGCAATGAGGGAAAACAGTGTTGACCTAAGTAACTTTGGAAACGAATGGAGTCCACATAAAGGCAAAATAAGGGGTACTTAAGCACTAGACCCTAGTTGATAAAGTTGTTTTCCACAGGGGCACAAGTAAAACATCCTGAGTACTATACATGCATATTGGAATTGAACAGTTATGTAAATGAATGGCTGACTGGGGGAGCCAGGTATCCCACTGTTGGAGTGGCAGGTTACTGAGAAGCTAAAGGAGGAGGCTAGAATAATCCATGTGGTAATGCTTTAAAGTCTGAAATACCACCATGACTCATGTTTAGCTTAATATAGATACATATGTGCACATACAGAAATATTTGTAGAAATGCACACATACTTGGGTTAGTATACACATCTATACTTCCTTGCTCCGTCAGCTGAGAGAGCTTAGAAGCAACAATGGCACCCCAGTAACAATGAACACGTCTACCACCCACATCTTGGGTTTCTAATATCCATTCTCTAGTAAAAACAAAAATCAAGAATCCCTGGAGAACCGACTGATTCTCATACTGGGGCAGGAATTATAAAAGATGAGTCTGAAGCATCTGAAGGGCCAGAGAGTAAGAAAGTACTAAAAGACTCTCACAATTATGAGGGTACGTCAAAGGCACGGAGGAGTCTACCAAAAGGGCTCCCAATGGCCAAATTGACAATAAAATTGAACAATAAAATACAAACAGATTGAACAATAAAATACACTGAGTAGTACTGGATTAATTATAGAATAAATATCCATGTGTCTGTAGTGTTATAAATATTGAATAAATAAATACATATATAAATGAGAGCATAGACAAATCTCCCATGCATAGGAACTATAAATAATTCATGCACATACTCCGTTTTCAAGGAGGTGGACCATAACTCCCCACTCCTTAGGTGTGGGCTGCCCACAGTGACTTCCTTCCAGAGTCAAGTTATGGAAAGGGGAGGAAAGAGTAAATTCTGCAGTGCAGAGACCTGCCAAACACTACCTGAACCAGGTGATCAAGGCCAATGCCAAGAGTCATAAATCATGCTGGCCATATAAATCTTTGATACGATGGGGATGGCACTTTACCTTTGCTATCTTCCTCGCCCAAAGACATAACCCCAGCCTACACATGAGAAAAACATCGAACAAATCCCAATCTAGAGACATCTAAAACACCAGACTAGTGCTCCTTTAAACTGTCAAGATCATCAAAAACAAAACAGGCTAAGAAACTGAGCCTAAGAAGATATGGTTACTAAACACAATGTGGTATCGTGGCTAGGATCCAGGAACAGAAAAAGAACACTGGGGAAAAACTAAGGAACTGTAATAAAGTACGGACTTTAGTTAGTACTGGCTTTAGTTAGCCAGTATCGATTCTGACTAATTGTAACATATGTACTACACTAATGTGAAATGTTAATAATAAGGGAAACTGGATGTTAGGAATATGGGAATTCTCTATAGCAGCTTCACAGTTTTTCCAGAAATACAAAACTGTTCTAAAATAAAAAGCTTATTTAGGGGCACCTGGGAGGCTCTTTACCTCTGGTTGAGTGTCTTACTCTTGATTTCAGCTCAGGTCATGATCCCGGGGTCTTGGAATCAACCCCGCATCGGGTTCTGCTCTGAGCGTGGAGCCTGCTTGGGATTCTCTCTCTCCTCTTCCTCTGTCCCTCCCACACTCATGATTGCTCTCTCACTCTCGCTCTCTCTCTCGCTGTCTTTCAAAATAAATAAGCTTTTTAAAAAGTTTATTTAAAAATGTATACAATAGCATATAAAATTATATAGAATAATGTATCAAAAACGGATTTGCCATGTTATCAACATGGTAAAATCAACTATATTTATTCATATTATATCTTGAAATCTAATACATTAAATTCAATAATCAACTCAACAAATTCACTTTCTTAACCCCAGACAAGTTACCCCGGTTCTTGTGTTTTCTACAGACCATCTGGGAGAACGAAATGTGTTTTAGGTATTGGCGCTTATACAAGTAAAAATACATTGACTTGTTATTTTTTGAAGCATTTCTACTTTAAATTTTATCGACGGGGCGCCTGGGTGGCGCAGTCGGTTAAGCGTCCGACTTCAGCCAGGTCACGATCTTGCGGTCCGTGAGTTCGAGCCCCGCGTCGGGCTCTGGGCTGATGGCTCGGAGCCTGAAGCCTGTTTCCGATTCTGTGTCTCCCTCTCTCTCTGCCCCTCCCCCGTTCATGCTCTCTCTCTGTCCCAAAAATAAATAAAAACGGAGAAAGAAAAAAAAAATTAAAAAAAAAATTTTATCGACCATAACCATCACAATAATGACGTAGTTATATATTCTTACGTTTCTTTCCAGGAGTAGAAGAAAACTGAAGTAAATTCAGATGTGGTGCTTGAAAGCACATCTCTGGGGACATATTTTTGGAAGGTCATTAAAACTGCCATCAGTGTAAAATTTGCCGAGTGCCCAAAACTCAGGTAGAAACTGAATAATTCAGTTAAATGCTTGGCTCTTCACTGACTTGATACCAAATATTTAGATTCTTCTTTTTAAATGTTTTTTTAACATTTATTTATTTTTGAGAGACAGAGAGAGAGCATGAGCAGGGAGGGGCAGAGAGAGAGAAGGAGACACAGAATCGGAAGCAGGCTGCAGGTTCTGAGCAAGCTGTCAGCACAGAGCCTGATGCAGGGCTCGAACCCACAAACTGTGAGATCATGACCTGAGCTGAAGTCGGATGCTCGACCGACTGAGCCACCCAGGCGCCCCCCCCCCCAAATATTTAGATTCTTTATCAGGAAAGCTCATTTGTTATATCAAAATAATTTTGTCACTTGAAATTGTGTTGGGAATATGAAAACTGTCTTCATCTTGAAGTAATGAGTATATATTAATTTTTCATGGCTAGAAAGAATGTGCTTCTAACTTAGTAAAAAAATATATGTTTAATGTCACTTCCACAGAGAAATTAATAGCAATGTTTTAGGTGAAACTGGGAGAAAGGCAAGAAAAACAACCCCCACCCCCACCCCATATACTCAGTCTTTTGTAGAATGACAGATGAAACTTTTGTTGGAGGAACATTTAGGCATTTGTAGAGAATATGGATTCAAAATTAGCAATGTAAGGAATACCCCATTTGTAGGCCAATTTTACTGCAAGATGAAAAACTAAATGCTTTAATACAGGTGTTAGACTTAGGAAAAGAAATACAATACACAATTCAATTGCTTCTTCCACCCCTCTTTCAACCTTTGTTTCTAATAGATAATAACTCTTTTCCAACTAGTTTACCTTTTCAAAAAGGAATATGGTATTATTGCCTGGTCAACATCTACTTTCCTTTATTTTGGTAAAAATACTTCGGTTTTCACTTGACAGATCACCTGCCCACTTTCTCATTCCAAGTATTTTAGGTGAGGCTTTATGCAGCTCACGCCGCTCTGGAAATGCACGTGAAATCCAAGCCTGGAAAAATCAGTTCATTCCTTCTCTTGGTTATTGCTTCAAGAACGGGCATGTGGATGGAACTGGAGAATGTTATGCTAAGTGAAATAAGTCATACAGAGAAAGACAGATACCATATGTTTTCACTCTTACGTGGATCCTGAGAAACTGAACAGAAGACCATGGGGGAGGGGAAGGAAAAAAAAAGTTAGACAGGGAGGGAGCCAAACCATAAGAGACTCTTGAAAATTGAGAATAAACTGAGGGTTGATGGGGGGTGGGAGGGAGGGGAAAGGGTGTGATGGGCATTGAGGAGGGCACCTATTTGGGTGAGCACTGGGTGTTGTATGGAAACCGATTTGACAATAAATTTCATATTTAAAAATAAATAAATAAATAAATAAATAAATAAATAAATACATAAATAAATAAAATAGGCATGTGACTCTAGTTGATCAACCAGAGAAAATATTGAGAGGTATTCTCTTTTTATTCTCATTTGTTGAACTGGTAGGATGCATTCCAGGAGTCATCTTGCCTCTCCTGGTAAGAAAGCCTACCTGAAAGTAAACCAACCAGAGGAAAACCAAACCTGAGATGGAGAGAGAGGGAAGGAGGCAGGAAAGGAGAGTGACTCCTGACACCTAAGTACAACCGTGCCTCTAAACCATCTCTGGAGTATTTCGGTCATAAGAATCAACTAACTCCCTATTTCACTAAAACGAATCTGAATTGGGTTTGGAGCACTTTGAACCGACTTGGTCCTGATGGTAAGCATCTTTCTTTTTTCCCAGCTGTCTTAATTTTTTCTCATCTTTAGAGATCTAGTTGAGGACAATTATTCTATAAGCTTACCTAGGCAAACCCAAGCCAAAGAACTCTTCCTCCTCTGAACTCATACATTAGTATATTTAGCATCCGTTTGCCTTAGTGATACCTCTTGTGTTGTTGATGACAGTGTTACTCAATTTTCTCTGTGTATGACTTTTTTTTTTAATCAATAAGATGCTAAATTCGCAAAGGACAGCATTGTCCAATATCCCTTCGCTACTTCAAGTCCCAAATTGTTGAGAAGTGATTGACCAAGTTTTCTCCAAATCTATGTGCCAAAATCCAAAAGGAGTTATTTTCCTTACACAAATATATAATTTGCCCTAGCAACATAAAGCCTTTGTAAGAGCTCACAGTTCCCAGTTTGCTTCCGTAATTAATTCATAGATAATTTCATAAATTATATCTTTAGAACCCATATGAAATTAGTGAAGGTACAAGGAAACTGACATGTTTTGAATATTCACAATATACTAAACAAAATCCTTGGGACTCCACATATATTTACCTGGCATATATCTCACAATAGTGCTGCTAATTAAATTTTATTATTTTTACTTTACAAATGAGGAAACAAGCTGAGAGATGTTAATTTGTTCAAGACCACACCCTAGTGAATGTACACCCATGTTTACGTGTTTTTGAATCTTTGCATTACCACCACCTAGCACGGTGTCCAGCATAAAAAGAAGATTCATAAAATATTAGGCAAATGAATGAATGAGTGAATGAACAAATAATACAGCCATAATCAAAGGTGTCCTGTTTGGTTCCAGATCTCCACTATACTATGCCACCTACAAACAGAATCATCACCAAGATAATCCCATACATTTTTGTCTCTTGTTTTTAAGTTACAATGAATCACTTAGCATTATGCATGTGGAAAGACGGATATTTCAACAGCTTCACCCCACTATGGAGGTGAGTCACAGTAGATGAAGCAGCTTGGGCTAAGTACTAGGACTTTTAGATTAGAGGGGAATCTGAATATAAATTGTATTTACTTGTTCTGTGACCTTAAACAAGTTATCTATGTCTCGGATCACTTATCAGTAAAACTGGGATAATATTATCTTCCTTGTAAGACTGTTGTGAGATGAAATAAAATTATGCTAGCAGAGCATCTGACATATAGGCATCTTTTTTTTTTTTTTGCTGTTATTACTATAATATTTTCTTTGAAGTTCAAACCAATTCTCTCATGGCCATATAAGTCTTAGTAATGTACAAGTGTTTGATTTTTAATAATTTAGGCATGACTTAGAACATTGAGAAAAAAGACATGTCTCTCGTTAATAGCAACCGATGTTCATAACTGAGCTCTCATAACTAAAAGTGACCCCAATATTACAAAAAAAATTTTTTAATATAGAAGACACTCTCGACATAAAGAACAGTCTCATTACCCAAGCCAGAAACTATAAGTCTGCCTTCCTGCCCTCAGCCATAAGTAAGTACTATTAAATACCTTCATCTGTCTTAATGTTTTCAACTAATTACCAACTCTTTGCTAATAATACATTCAAAAATATCGAGTTCAATTTCTTTATTACCTTTACCATGGATTTATTGACGCTTTCAACAGCTCTAATCTGGAGGGTTTTGTGGCAGCCCGGGTGTAAAATTCTGGCAGCTTTAGCTAGGGTAGAGATTTGGAAGTCGTGAGAAGTGACTTCATTTTGAATGTATTTTAACGGTGGAGCCAACGGGGTCTACTAATGGATTAGATGTGGGGTTTTTAGAGGCTCGGAATCATGGAAGCCTCTGAAACTTCCGGCTGGAGCAAGTAGTGAATAATGGTAGCATTTCCAGAGTTGGGAAATGCTACTGCAGCAAGCCGGGCAGCTGGGATGGAGAGTGTGCTTTCAGACATGATCATGGTAGGTATTCAGGATAAAGTGTCACAAACTGAGAAACTGTGTTCAGTAACTAATTCCTATGTACTTTTCAAGTGTGCGTGTGCCTTTGTACTTGCTTTTCTTTTTACCTGGGATTACCTGTCCCCCATCTAACCTACACTCACATGAAGTACACTCAAGAGGCGGCTTTCCCAACACCCCCAGCAGAGTTAGACTTACCTTCCTCTACGGCCCAATAGCAATTCAGTAATGTTTACAAAATACTAATAATAAATCAAGCATTATACTAATTACTAGGGATACAAAGATATAAAATCCCTTGCGTTCAAAGAGCTTCCAATCTAATAGGGGGTAGGGGAACCTACCCAAACTATTCAGTACAATGTGATAAATGGTATATACAAAATGCAATGAAACTATAGATGAGAGAATGGTGGGTAGTCAGGCTAAGGCACTAATATTTACTGAATGTATATTTGCCATATGTATGGTACTTTAATTGTTATTTCACTGAATTCTCACAACAGC